TTTTTTTTTTCTTCTTAATTAGATTATGGTTCATCATACTCTGCTCCATCTGTTATGCGTGATCTTCCAGTTGAATCAAACTATGGATCAAAAGACTTCACAGAAATCGTCCGAGATCTTCCATTAACATCAAGCTATGGTTCATCATACTCAGCACCACGTAAAATGATCATCCAAAGTGACATCCGACCACGTGTATTTCCATCACAAGAACAATTAATGTTCGAACAACGTGAAGCTTTAAAACTCAAAATTGCTGAATCAACAATCACAACTGAAGCTGATAACCTTTGCCGTGGTCAACGCCCAGAAACAGTTATCCCATTAGATGGTGGTCTTCGATTTATCGTCTGTCTTGATGAAGGAAAAGGTCAAGAACAATGGTGCCCAAAAGGTCTTTTATATCACCCAGAACAACGCCGATGCGAACGTAAATTGGGTCCATTAGAAAGTCCATGTGTTTCATCACCATGTCTTAACAATGGTCAATGTATCCCAACTGACACACACTCATACAAATGTGAATGTCCAACTGGTTTCGATGGTAAAATCTGTGAATTAGATGCTACAGTTTGTCACACACAACAACCATGTGGTTCATCATACGAATCAAAATGCCAATCATTCCGATGGGGAGCTGGTCTTACACACATGTGTATCTTCCAAGATGGTCGTGCTTATGGTTTCTCAGCTGGTCAAGGTAAATATTTATTTATTAACTTTACAAAAATTTAATTGAATTTATTTAATTTAGTTCACCAAAGCCCATGCAAAGGAATTGATGGTACATTCGCATTAGCTCACTCTGATAAAGGTTTCATCATGTGTAGCGGTGAATCAATGTTCGTTGAATCATGCCCAGGTGGTACAGTTTGGGATGATTTAAACAAATCATGTGTCTGGGCTGGTATGGAAGGTGTTATTGTTCCACTTGGAGAACAAACAAAAACATTATCATATGATTCATACTCAACAGTCTCACGACCAATGCCAGTATTTGAACAACCAAAATTATTCCGTGATTTACCAATTAAATCATCATACGGTTCATCATACTCTGAACCAAAAGTATTCCGTGATTTACCAATCCAATCATCATATGGTGCACCACTCGTCGAAAAATCAATCATCCTTGCTGATGAACCAAAAGTTGAATATGGTGCCAGAACCGAATTTATTGCTCCACAACAAGACCGAGTATTTGAACCAGTCGTCTCATCATATGGTGCTCCACGTATGCTTAAAACACACACATTTCAAAAACCAATGATCCGATCATTCGATCGTGTTCAATCATCCGGATATTAAATACTACTACTACTACTATCAACAACATCATAATTAATATTTAACGTATTTTTCTGATGATTGTATGATTTTAGTACTTTCATTTCTTATTTTCTACACCTTTTATTATAAAATAGTTTTTTTTTGGAAGATCAAGACTTGTTTGTTTTTGACAAGCAAATAAATTCCGATTTAAACATTACTTATTATCTTCAATCATTTTTATACAATATCAAAATAGATATAACTTAACATTGAATTCAATTTTAGTCTTATTATCAGATTAATTTATATGAATATTAAAAGAATATATTCATCTAGTTATTCGAAATATGAAAATGAAATCTTGTTATATGTTTATTCATAGATAGAGATTTTATCTCAATAAATAATAAATATTATAGAATTAATAGAAATCTATCTTATATAAATATAATATTTTATTTTAGTAGAAATTCGATTAGATTCTTTAATGTCAATTAACTTAATTTAATCATTCATTGAATTTACCAGAAAAGTTTCCTGAAAAAAGCAAATTAAAAAAGAAAACTATTTTCTTTTCTAAGATTTTATATAAAAAAAAAAAAGAATGAAATTGTTTCTAATTAGATTAGTTTTATTTGAATTGATTTTGTTTGTTGATGATATTTAACTCTATAATATATGTCTTTATAGTTTGTTTAATATTAAAGTACACTTGTCGACAATCGTCTTTAGATTTTATCCTGAAAAACTAGATGAAAATTTTCTTTCAACAAAATATATTTATTTAAAACAATAAGAAAAAGAATTCAAAGATTTTCTTTAGATTAAAAATTTCTATTTAAAAAAGTGTAAGATTAACTTGAATTATCTCTAGACGTTAAGATATATGGAAAAATATCACGTGGTATTTGTCTTGACGATGAGATAACGAATTTCTTTTTCTTTTTCTTTTTCTTTCTTCTGAAGAATCAATCGTATATTTGAATTTGAAATCTATTCTATTCTTTGTTAAATTATTCATTTTCTTGTTAATCAAATAAAACTTTTTTTTGTTTTCTTTAAAAAAGAATTTTATCTTAGAATTGAGATAAACAATATTATATTATCATAGAAATCTATTGAAAAACAATTCTATTCAATAGAAAATATCTTAAGAATTCTTTGTGTAAATTTTTTACAAATCTAACTATCAAGAAAGAGAGAGAGAAAGAATCGATTTGATCTCTAATAGAAATATTTCAAATTAATTCGTTTTATTTTATTCTTCACTTATTTAATAAAAAATACGTCATTTCGATTTAACTTATTTTCAAATTTTCTTTTTCTCCTAGACGTTTCCTTCCATTAAATATTCATATATATTTCCCATTGTTTCAATCACATATCTATCCAAATCTAAATTAAAGACTAATTCTAATCTTTATTTTAAATAAGAAATTTAATATTTGTTTATATATATTGTTGATCTCTTGTCAAATTTCTCTAAATAAAGAATCGAAATTGAAAAAGATTTTTAAAATCCAACTGAAATTATTTTTTCTTTGACTTATTTGACATTTTTCTAATTTACTCTTATGAGAAAAATATTCAATAGATATAGAAATATTGTTTCTACAACTAATAGAAATCAATTCAAAGAACATATTTTATAAAAATTATTTTAGAAAATTCAAAGAGATTTAAATGAATATTTTTAATGTCATTAATAAACGAAATCAAATTTCGTTTTCTATTCAAAAAACAGACAAAAGATCAAAAGAAATTACTTCCTTCAATTATTATTAAATATTCATTTTTTTATCATTCAAAACTTTATTTAAATATTGAAAAATAATTCAATGTTTTCTATAGAAGAAAAGATCATATAAAATATTAAAAGAATTATCCACAAAGATCAAATTAAGAAAATCGAAATTTATTTAAACAAATATTTTAATAATAAATATAGAAAATTGTTATTCTTATCACAATTTCTATAAATTAAAATTTATTTTATTTTTAATCAATATTATTTCGTAGATGAAATGGATCAAGAATAGAAATCAAATCTTTTCTCTTCTTGAACTTTTTTCAACGATATAAATCATCTTATTAGATTTTCAAATTGAATTTATTCTATCACACGTGATTATTTTAAACACGAACAAAATTTTCCTCTTTTCTTCTTAGATTTCGAAATAATAAAGATAAAACGTTAGAAAGAGAGAGATTAAACCATTTTTATTCATGCTTAAACAGAACGCAAGAAAATACGAAAATTTTCTTCTTGTTTTATTTGTTAAATAAACAAAATAATTTTCTAATTAATAATAGAAAAAAATAATCTTTTCTTCTAGAAAATTTCGAATAAATTGTTAATATTTTCTATTGATATGATAAACATTAATCGAGATTATTTTATTCATATTATTATAAGAAGAAGAAAAAGAAAGTTAGATATTTTATTTTATTTATAGAAAATTCTCTTTCTCATACGATTGACAAGTTCATCGTTTCATTCGATATTATTTGATTAAGATTAAAATTGTAATTGTAATTAATATCTAGAAATAAAATATAAAATTGTTCTCATCACTCTATAGAAGACTATCTTAATTCTTAATAATTGAAAATAATTCAATTAAATATTCGCTAAAAAATTCAAACTAATCGATTAATTTCTACATAGAAAAATGTAATATATTGGAAATAATTTTATTATTATTTGTCATATTTCATAGAATATATTAATTAGGAATAATTTATTTATATTTTCTCGTATTTTTCGTTTATTAGAAAAAAATCTATAGAATATCATCGTTACCACTCAGAAAAATTTATTCAATAATGAAAAAACTTCTTGATTTAAATTAATATAAAAAAAGCATTTGACATTAAAAACATATTTTTATTTCAATCAATATTAATCACTTATTAATATTCAATAAAACAATTTCTCAAAATTCACTTGAAAATTCTTTTATATACATATTTTTTTAATAAATTTAATGACAAGAAATCATTAACCTGTCGATTAGTTTTTTTCAATAGCAATCGTCAAATTAATTTCAAATTCTTCGTATATATATATATAAATTTAGCATCAGATGCTGCACTTAAGGAAACTTGTATGAATATGTGTTTGTATCAAGATAATAGGTAATCAGAATACAATTACATCAACCTTCTATCCATACTTACCATCTCTTCACTTTATCATGAATCATCAATAGTGTTCTATCTATGGTTTTACTTTCGATGCGTTAAACATATAGTAAAAGGCGCAAATATCGTAAATCTCAGGATAATAAACGCTGTTTTCGGGGGTGCAAAATGTCTCACATTTCTCCCCTGATGGATAAAACACGGATTATTGACATCAATAGTAAAAAATCAAATTCATCATAAACTCTTCAAATATTTCAATTACATTCTTTCTTTCTTTCTTTTTGTTTCAACTAATAACTGTGTAGAGAGATTTTATCGAATGAAATTACAATAAATCAATTAAATGGTGACGATTTACTTCTGTACAACATTTTATTACTCGATTACTAATAAGAAAAAAGTTATAAACTTGATTATCATAATTATTCTGAGATAAAAAAGACAATAAAAATTCTCCTTGAAAGTCAGAAGTGATTTATTTATTGAAGATAATTTCATATAAATTTGGACTTTTTTCTCATTTTTATATAATAGTCAATTTTCAATTGATTTTTCTTCAGACATAATTTCATCTATTAACTATGCCAGAAAATAGTATTCGTATATTTATTGCGTTAGCTGTTCTTACTCTCTTTGGTATTATTACATTTGCTCTAGCTGCAGCTACAC